AGTTTATGTTTTCTCCTCTGATGATTGCATATGAGGAACTTCTAAGAGCTCTCTTGTTAGTCGAAATTCTCTCTGTATTTCCACAATATGGAAAAGGTTAAATCTACAAGGAATTTCCGTAATGTGTGTGTGTGCTCATTATGCTCACTTCTGGTTGAAAGTCGTTGGTGTAAAAATGTGTAATTCCAAAGAAAATGTCCAATTTCATTATTCAACAAGAAAGCCCTTTGACTCAAGGAATTATGCTCATTTTCTTCACGTCGAAGAGCGACAAAAGGGGAGAAAACCCTCCGAATGGAGAGCATCAAACATGAGAGGATCTCTTTTAATTTATGCTGATTCCATCCCCACAGACGTTGAAATAATCTGATGCGGCATATACCTTTTTGGGTGAGGAGCAGCAGAAAAAATTGAAATGGTTTAAATTGCCCAAAATGGGCCATATCCTCATAACCATTACAAGCAGTTACTGCTTTTATGATCTGCCCATGGAGATTGCGGCTGGGCGGGGGTGGTGGTTGTCTTGTCAAAATTATGCAAATCTGTCTGCTGATGTGATTTGGGGTGGATGTCAGTGGAATGGCTTTCAGTTTTTCCACCCTCACAGACAAAATACCTTCTTCTTCTCTTCGCCCATTGTGCGGTTCTTTCTCCTCTCCACTGTTTTTTATGTGAGATTAAGTGTCGTAAAAGTTTTCAAGGTGTTTTATTAGGCAAGAAAAATTTTATTCCTCATTCACACTCCCTGCAATGGGGGTGGATTTTGCTGTGGCTCGTGCAGAGACAAGAGAAGAAGGAAAAAAAACACAAACACACACACACTGCTCAATATCAGATTTACCATAAAACGACAATAGGAAAATGTTTTCCATCAGAATGACTTTTTCATGGAAATCCGTATGGAAATTGTCAGCTTCTCTGGGCGATGGAGAGTCGTGCCACTCATGGGGTAGACACTCGAGACACTCACTCTCTCTCACTTTCCCGGGGAGGGAAAAGGGCAATGAGCCGCAAGCACTTTGTAGGTCATTTCGAAGGCGTTGATCACCCAATTTGGCTCCAGCGAAATGGCTCATCTTGAGGACAGACAACAGATTTAAATGGCATTGAATCTTGATTGTTAGCAGAGGAAAAAAATTCCGACACCATCTCGGGGAAAATGGGAGGGTTCCTCATCGTCCCATAAAGAGGACTTACTTTGTATTTATATGCAATACACTTTTATTTTTATCACCTTCGCCTGATGTGAGATTGGCTCGCCTGCCAATGAATTGTGAGTTGTCTTTGCCACAACAAATGGCCAATTTCCATCCTGAGCTCGTGCGGAATGTCATATATGGACTGCTTCAGTGAGGAAATTGAATGTCCTGGAAATGGTGATAAGAAGTTTCCATTCTCCCCCCTCAGCAGAATGACTTCTTGAGACATTCTGGCAAGGATATTAAACGGGTTTAACCCATACAACTTTGCCAGACTTTTATCCAAAAATTCCATGTAATTATCGGACGTTGCGTCGAGCCCCGAAGGCATCAATTTCCAAAGAGGCGCGCACAGAAAATTCACATGATTTCGAAGAAGAGTGGCTCATCTGCATCCCTGCAGATGGGGCGGAGCAGCAATCGCCGGAAATGACTCCTTCCCGTGGCGTATGCAATTACGGATGAATTTATCGTCTATCCGTCAATCTGAGGGGTGATTTTTTGCCATCAGCGGAAAACATCCAAGACAATGCGTGAGGCGTTCCTTTGCGAACATGTAAGTCACCCCGAAGGCCTCTCTCTGTTGTCCATCAGATTGCCTTGGATGACTCTGTCTAATGATGGTTTGGAAGTTTGTGCGTGTTTGGGCGGTGCATTGCAGGGTGGAACACGTGTGAGGTCCTCTCGACATCCTCCGGGACGGCGTGATTAGCATTGGACATGTTCCCGCGCCACCCACTCTCGATGACATTCGATCCCTATTATCGTCTACAAGTTGCCAGGTATTTCGAGACAGTTTCCACACTTTGAGCCTCACAATGTGACTTTGTCACTGATAATTGAAATCCTTTTGCCATGTCTCGGGGTTTGGATGAGTCGCACCCACTCGGGGTGGGGTGAGGCTGATTTGAGAGTGAGCTTTGTCTAATTTGAGGTCAGTGGCTGTTAATTTCCAGGAGAGAATTGTAACGTGTGTCTTATTCATGGGATATCTAATGAAGCACAAATTGATTTTCACCAGAAGCCCTCTGCAAGAGGCGTTATATCTACTGCCAGTGCTTCATTCAGGGGGTGGAAAGTTTCAAGAAATTTCCACAATTTCTCATCCTTTCCATGCGTTCAACGGATTTGAGGAATAATTGCATATGCAATTGAATAAGGGAAACATATGCGCAAACAATTTGAAACATTGCAATCCTAAGGCAATATGTGCTCAAGAATTGTCTTGGGACTTCATCACAAGACATGCACAGCATAATAAATGCTGAGACACTCAAATGAAATTGGATTGTGAATTTTCATACAACTAATTGAAGTTCTGAAGCAACTCTTTCACTCCGCTTAATCACATAGAGACGAATGGAAGATGACTTTCCAGCCACCCTTCCCTCCATCAGCTCACCTCCAAGGGTGTCTCTCTGCTTCCACCCCCAATGTACACAGCGATGCTCGTGAATATTGAAATAATTAGAGAGTGAGTTTGCGTGACACTTTCGAATGTGTCACTGAGAGAACACAACTCGGCGAATATGGCTCAAGTTGATGACTTGGCAGAAATGCACGAGTCAGCATTTTGCAGAATTTCAACCCCCTCCGGCTGTCATTTTGGGGGTGACCAATCAGATGCGATAGACAGTCGGTCTGTGTCCAGAGACAGACCGGCAATCCGGAGTCAGCGGAAAATTTTCCAGCACAAAACAAAAAGCCCTAAATCATTGCCATGGACAGATCCACGCCAAAATTGGTGGCCACCCACCCGCCGGAAGAGGTCCGCAGCCACCGGTGGTGGAGAGTTTTGCAAAATAGAAAATTGTAAACAATTTGCACTTTGCTGGGTAATTCTGGCATGTCACCCCGGAAGATTGGGTCATTTCACGGAAGCGAATAGACACACGGTTGGGGAAAAAGTTGTGACTGAGACGCATGTAACTGTCAATTATTTGCTCTATCATCTGGCAGAGCTTCCTTCCCAGGAGGAGGAAGAGGAGGAGAGGAAAAAATGCGGAGACCGGAGAGATTGAAGGCAACCTTCTTGGCACGAGGGTTGAAAGCTTCCTTCCGAGTCATTTTTCATCTCATTCCTCCCCAGTCGCGATGGCCTCCGTGCCGAGTTTATTTAGAGAGAGAGAGAGAGAGAGATTGTGGCATCGATGTTAATAATTTATTCACTCTCCCAGTTATTGTTATGATTATTGGCTGGTGAGGGAGTCCATGTGACCAGGAGATAAATGGGACTCGTGGGGAATTCATTAAAACACGATAAAGCGATCGCAAAGTGGGTGGGCGGCCTTTTTTCGCCACCCCCAAAAACCAGACCCGCCGGAGAACATTTTCGCCTCTCAACTTTTCCCTCCTTATCAGATAATGAGGTTTTCTTTTCGACGTGCACTCCGCCAGCAGGGCAGCCACCCACTGGGTGGGCGGGAGGCGTTTTAATTTAATGGCTTTATAAAGAGGTTGTCTATCATTATCAGTGCAAACCCACACCCACTCTCATGGCTAATACCATTGCGCCACACCAGCGCCTATCTCGCCGTATAGTTTTATTTACTTGCCAGTGTATTTTTATCTCGGGTGGAAGATCAAGCGGAAAATAGCGAAACGACAGCGGTGGAGCTTTAATAATCCCCAGGGAGATTGTGGAAAATTCGACGAATGGCGTGCCACCGTCTCCACATGTGGGGTGATGGCGACGCCACGGAAAACCACGAGTGGGTTGTGAGTGCCACAAAACAATTACCTAGATTGCTTTTCTTTCGTGCGCCATCCACTGAGAATTTCTTCTCCGGAACGCCGTTCGGCGCGGTCGAGGGGCCAGGAAGCGTTCGCCGGGTGTTTTTTCGGGAAGCTTTAAAGCACTTTAGGAAATTCAGAGAGAGCCCTATTGAAGATGAATAGATCAAACAACTATATAGCCATGAGATTTACTCTAAAGCCAATTATATCGTGAAACTCTTTGAAAAAGAAACACCCAGCGATCCCCTCGGCGAATTCGTGGATCCCATAACCAAGTGCAATGGCAGAAAAAAATACACCTCGGCACACAAAAAAGTCACTCACGAAAAATATTAATGGTCCTCCGCTCCAAATTTAATCTCCTCCCGTCTCACCGGGAGATGTGCCCAGAGGGGAGCGCGAAAAAGGTGGTTTTAAAAATACTTCCACGACGCAACATATCAAATATCCTTCTCTCTCTGTCCCTTTTTCTCCCGGCGCACTGTGAGACAATTGCGCCATTGAAGCTGCGGCAACACTTCCGGCAGATGTGGGTGTGTATTTTTTCTCATCATCATCATCAACCCCTTTTCCATACTGACGCCGAAGGAGGAAAAGGAGGAAGAAAGCAAAAAAAAAATTAAACCACATGCTAAACATGTCAATCAAAAGTCGTCCCCTGACTCGAAACCCAAAGAAAAGGCACTTCATAAAAATATCGGGCCGGGAAATGTTGATGAAGATTTGAGGCGCGAGAGAGCATAAATAGAAAAAAAAAACAGATGAGAAATATTGAAATAATTGCGGTGAGGCTGGGGTGCAGTGGATGGTTGATGGATTGCACACGAATGGGTGGAAAAAAATGTGCCAAAGACGGGAAGATGCCGGCACGTGGCTTGAGTCCATTGTTAACCCTTTCAAGTACACTCGCCCAAACACACGCGGGCCCCTTCAATTACCATCCCTCCCTGGGCATTGTGCGACCCGCAAATCAGATGCTTTTTCGCAATCGCGCCGCTCTATTGTTGAGCAATTATTAGATTCTGTCATATCGAATTAACGTCTGTCTCTCTCCTTTCTTTCCAGCATCCGTATCCATCGGAAGACCAGAAAAAACAATTAGCGCAAGATACAGGGCTTACGATACTGCAAGTGAATAATTGGTAAGTGATCGCCCATGTAATTTGATATGATTTTTAGTGTGACATCATCGCAGCATTCACGCGAGCACGTAATGTGCACAGTAAACAGTCCAATTACTTTGGCGAACTATCGCAATGCAAGTGTGAAGAACATCCATGCTCGCCAAGTGATAAATGATGAATTCGAGAGTGGAGGCAATTGTCCAGTCTCATGCCCACCCACATGGTGACCGCGAAATTCACGATCTCACCGATGAGATTCTGTCCCTCGTGCATGTCTCATTCGCCTTTATCTGGCACTGGGAAGAGAGCGAGAGACTTGCATCATTTTTCATCAGTCGAACCATCCATTTGTGCAGCATCCAATAAAATATCACAGCCATGGTGACAATTTTTGTCCGCCATATCCATCCTCCACCTCAGACTGTTCTTTGTACTCCGTGGGGACTATTTATGGCCCAGAGAGGTGGCTTCAGAGATGTGCTATACAAGTAACGAGAGGGAGAGAGAGAAAAAAAAATCATCGGCCAACGACACCCATATAAACTCGTTTGATTTGTGCATCAAAGTGCAATTTACTCTGTGCAATTTTGTATGGTGAATAGAAAGAGAGTTATTGGCATATTTCGCACAGATGATTCTGAGGGTGAATTCCTCGCGAGCCACTCAGTTGCCATCCATGAAATACGAACTGTCACCTCTGCCAGCCAATTTAAATATAACCATGTGAAATATGACATCGTTAAGGCCGTGGCGAGAGAATGAGGACGATAGTGTGCGCTCAGGAGGGAGAAGCCCAGGTATCAGCCACGGATCCCGCAGTTGGAGATCGCTGTGGCGCTAACGAGGCGCGCAGAACGCGCACTGTGATAAGGACAAGGGGGAGATAGTATGCCTTCAATCTGTACACCACTTTCTGACACTTCTGAATGCTCTTTAAGACATTTTCTTTAGCTCTTAAGACTGGTTCCTGCACGCATTTTCCCTTTTGTCCGCGGCAAATGCTAAAAGAAAAACGTTCTGACCAAATTCTGAGGTAATGAATCCGACCAAGAAAATCCTTCTTGGACTCTTTATATTGCTTTCAAACCTAGAAATGAGAAAATAAGTCGAATATTGCGATGTTTCTTTTAAAAATTGAGGTTCAATTTGTCGCTTTAAAGCACAAATCGCAAAAATAACTAAGCAAAGAGACTTTCTTGTGCACTAAAATGATGTCTTTGAGGTTATGATTGACTCTTAAGCTTTTACTCAACCAATATGAAATCAATTTGAACACAGATTCTCAGCTTTGCTCAAGAAAAAGAGAAATAATCCGTGATTAAACACAATTTTGATGTTTTTAGGGGTTAATTTCTAAGCAATATAATTTGTTGAAGCTGAAGCTTTTGCAGAGCAAATATTCTAACACCTCCGGCCATAATATCTGCCCCTTGGACAAGGAGAGACTTTAGTGGGCTTTTTTTAGTCCCTGAAAGCTCATCCCAAAATGACGAGTGCACAAATTGTCACGGACGACTGACTTGCAGATCATTCGCAGAGACCTTCCGACCGTCGAGGAAGAGTAAATGTCGAGTCTCCTTTGGAAATTTGTTGTCCTCTCACTGTCATGGTGATTTGTTGATTCACCAAGTGTGTTGGCATCGCCACACGGCAAGAGCCTTCTCGGGGCAGCCCTTATTAGGTGGCCGAGGTGTTATAAATTTGGCTTTTCGGAGGCGTTGGCAGGTGTCGTGTGACATTTGTTCACCGGCGATTCTCCTCCATTTTCGAGATTTATGGTGAATTCATAGACTTTAGCGTCTGCGACACGACGAAAGAACCACAGTCACTCTCACCTTCGGCCGGGGAAATTTATTTGCACCCCAAAGAGTGATCCAGAGAGCCGCGGGAAGAGGGTGTGGGTGGGAACGGGAATTTTTGTGCACATGTGATGCAAAGGCAAACACGAAATTAATGTTTTTACTCTTCTCTGTTGCAACAGAAACAAGCAAATAGTCATTTAATCCCTTCTCCCAGGGGAACATCGAGTGCGGGGGGCGAGTGTGTGTGCGACCCTTTGATAGAGAGAAGGGTTGCAAGCAACCCTTTCGCCTATTTTTCCTGTCCACATGATATATTGCTTTGGGATATGTGAACAAATCTTCCAATTGCCCAAAAGATTCCCACCCGAACTGGGCTTCGAGGAGGACAAGAATATTTTTCCAACCACCCACGAGTGCGCGATTGCCCATGAGTGGAGGGTATGAAATGGATTCTCGAGTGGCTGGATTAAATTACTAATACGATTGGGAATTTGTTTTGTTGTCGAATCACCCCTAACACGCGAATTGGAATTGAATTCATTCTCTCTCGTTCCGCCCTTGCTGTGCGCCAGGGTGAATTCCTACGGTATAAGATGACTATTTAGCTAATAGCACGACATTGATGCCTTTTGTCTTGTGCGCCACACTCTCCGAATCGGCATAGAATTGTAATGGAAAAAATGCATTCAGCACCCCATCTATCAAACACACGTCCTGGATGCGGAGGTGCTTTCAGGACTAGGGCAGCTCTGGGTAAAAAGTCTCTCAATTGCCAGAGTATAATTCCCCGAAATGGGAGAACTGATTGATTAATCGTGGCAATTACTGATCAACTTCAACTGCCTAATTAGATTCTCAGCTCTAACATCGGTGTTCACTTTCGCCCATATATTGAGATTGCTTACAAGAGGGGTTGGAAAATTTCTGAAATTCACCAGAAAGCATTCACTTTAATATCCAAGTTTTCCCTTCCCTCCCGAAAAGCCCTTCTGTATCGCAATCCCTCTGCGTAATTACATAATTTCCAAATGCAATTATCCATGTGAGAGTCTTTTTGTTCCACTGAATCCAAGTGTTTGCTCGCCCACCCCGGATTTCACATCCATTTTCAATTGCATATGCAATATTCAGATGGAAATCCGCACCCTTTTGACAATTTGCCCTGGGTAAATTGAGAAATAAAAACAGAGCCTTTTAATGAAAATTCCACCCGGACTCAGAGTGTAAATTCATCCCCGAATGCGATTTTAAATAGTCAATCGTAACTTTTGGCCTCATAATCCGCATGTGAAACAAACACCATCAAGAGGTTAATTGCGAGAGGCATTTAGAAGAATTCTCTGGCGAAGGGTGGCATGAAAATATTTGCAACTTGTGCACACTTTCCCATGTAAATTATCCCGACATGTGCACCATCAGGTTCATCTTGCAATTTTAGGTGTGAAAGAGGCGGAAAATTTGCAGGGGATTCTTGAACTTCTGGGGCAATTATTCCATATGTTCCCTCCTAAGATGCCTCCAAACAAAATGCCGGGATCTTTTGCCACAGCGAAGAGGGTATTTTTCGGGTCTCTTGCTCGGGAAAGAGCTTTAGATGGGAGTTTGTGGGGAGGAAAATTGAGGAAAAACACCGAGACATTTCGCTCTCGGGGAGGGAAAAAAGCGAAGAGAAGTTCGGTGAGTAAAACCAGACATTCTCCTAATTAATTAGAAGTTATTTAATGCAATATCCAGAAAATAAATGAGATAAAATCCAACTTTGAGGAAAATCCACCCTCACCAAAAAGTAAATTAGAATGTAGTGTACTTTTTTCGCCTCCAGATTGAGGCTCGTGGATTGCATTAGAGAGCTTTTCTAGCGCACAAAACCAGCATAACAACCCCTCTTCGCATTTTCTCTCTTTCTCTTTTGGGGTTTGGAAAAGCCTTGGCGCGGTGTGGAGAGCAAAAAAAAAGTTGGCAAGAAGGAATAAATATTAATTAAAGTAGGATTGAGGCTTGATGGTTTGCTCTCTCAATCCACAACTCCTCCAGACGCTGAATGTCTGAAAGCTTTCACTGAAAATCTCAAGATTGCATTTACGATTATTTGAGCTTTCGTGGCAAAATTGAGAATAACATGTTGGAATAATATTTCCACTCGGTCCAGAACAGTGGAAGTTTGCGGTATTTTCCGCAACTTCTTCTGCCCTTTCCGCGGCGAATTGTGTGTTTGGAAGAATTCTCATCATCTTCATTGCGATTATTGTTGGGACGCGCAAAAAAATCGGGTATAGCAAAAATTACTTAAAAATAAAATTGGTTAGAATTCTCCCCTCGCTTTTGCCACACGATGTGGTGGATTTTCCCCGAGGGTGGAAGGGAGAAATTCAATCTTGTGTATGATATACAAGATGGGGGGAGGGTGGTTTCTCCCCTTCCCAGGCGCGGGGGTGGTTTGGCAAAAAAAAAATAGAGTCGGAGAAAAAGGGAAAAAAGGTACAATTTTCAGTTTTAGCTGATAAGGACTCAATCCCCGAGCCACTTTGTCTCACCCTCGCATTTCCACCCCCAGCGCAGAACTCTTGTCATTTATCATCCCCCTGGAACGTGCATTTTGTCTCTCCTCCGCGTATAATTCAAATGATTTCGATTATGTGCTGCTTCAGGACACTTTCCTGGCGTGGAGCAAAAAAAGAAGAGAACGTATAATTTTTTCGCGATGGATTTCTCCATCTTCAATTGGTCCTGGAGTACTTTGGGGGTTGGCGCGGTGGAAAAAAGGTCTCTCGCGTAATTCGATGGGTCGTCGAGGGACGGAAAAAGCCTGGAAGGTTGATGATTCAAAGGATGGATAAGGGAGAGTAGATAATTTCCTCTTTTTTCTCGCCATTTTCACGCCACAATTGAGAAGTTAGGAATTGCGAGTGGGAGATTAAGCTCCACCAGATTTTCAATTTCATCCCTTTGCCATTCAGGCACTAATCTATATATTTAATCTAAAGAGAGAATCTCAATTTATTCTGTCTTCCATTTCTATGCATTAGAAATTCCGCACATTTTTTTCCATTTATTGCACGCACGAAAACCAATTCTTGTTGTGACCGCAAAACATCTTCTTCTATTTGATAAACCCCTTGTTTTCTCCTCTTGTTACAGAAAAATCTATGGCAAATTTATTCCCATGTTGATCACGTGATGTGATTCTCGAAGATTTTGCGGTCAGAGGGCAAAGAA